ATAAAAAATAATATGGGAACATTTGAAATGGCAGAGTACGTGGCCAGGCAGTGCAACAGTTACATCCAGCAAGGCTATCCCATCAAAGATATTGCAATCCTGTGCAGTACACAGCAGGCAACCCAGGTGTTCAGTCAGATACTGGAACCTGAGCTAAGAAGACAAATAAGGAAATGCAGGGTGAGGTTGGTCTTGAAGCTAGCGGAGAATGTTTTAGACAATGTCATTGTTCTTGACAGCATCCGACGCTTCTCAGGTCTAGAAAGGAGGATTGTGTTCGTCATCCACCCAATCCCTGCACAAGTGGAGATATCTCTCAATCTTCTGCTCTGTGCAGCATCCAGAGCCAACACTAAACTCCATTTGCTGTATCACAAAGAAAAGACATTTTTAAGAGGCATGTCTTTAGATGACAGTTCACTCTTACCTAGGGCTATGGACACCAGAATGCTTCGCTCATTTTTTGTTCAATGATATTACAGGGCAGCCTTAGGATTTTTTTTTAAATGCCCTTTCTGTAGTCTATGCAAAAAAAAAAATTATGCAGTTTCATATATATATTTAATCATGTGTAGATCTGTGGGATGTCATAAAATTATTTTAATTAAAGGACATTGCCACCTGGAGAGAACAAATTGCTGAAAATGGCAATTGCAGAAGGAAGTCAACAATTACAAACTACTTGGATAAATCATAGAACAGTTTGGAGACTTGTACTTTCAATTCCTGTGCTCTTTAAGCTTATTGCACATTCTGAGTTGCTTCAGCACTACTCGAGTGGAACCACTGGTTGGAAATGCGACAGGGGCCATCCTTGTTTACATCCCTGCTGGTGCTGGTGCAGATGGACAAAACTCTGCTTTTTTTTCAGTGGTGGGGAGATTTTTGTGAATTTTCAGCCAAATCGTCTCTTTTCTCATCAAAAAAGATAGTGCCACAGCTTGCTTTTGGGAGTGGTGGTGGCTGCCTTCACCTCTGCTGCGACTGGGGCTGTGGTTTTGTGGTCACATTGAATCATCTTAAGTTCAGGTTTCTGCCCATGGAGGTAGTTCTCTCCCCAGTAGTATAGTCCCAAACCTCTCATAATCAGGCTTGGGTGTGCAACATGGAGTGAGTTGGGAACTTGGGGGTTTTTTTGGCAAATTAGTCTTCAGCTTAGGTAAGCTCCACTTTGTCACACAGCTGCCCAAGTGCCAGTGCTGTCGTGAGGGGTGGCAGGAACATGCTTCCTGGAGGAGGAGGCAGCTCAGGATCACAGAATGGTTGAGGTGGGAAGGGACCTCTGGAGGTCAACTCATCCAACACCCTGCTCAAGCAGGGGGCACCTAGGCTGCCCAGGACCATGGCCAGATGGCTTTTGAATATCTCTGCAACCTCGCTGGGCAACCTGTGCCAGTGCTCAGTCACCCTCACAGTAAAAACTGCGTCCTGATGCTCAGAGGTAACCTCCTGTGTTTCAGTTTGTGCCCGTTGCTTCTGGTCCTGTCACTGGGGACCACTGGAGAGAGCCTGGCTCTGTCCTCTTAACACCTTCTCTTCAGGTGTTGATACACATTGATGAGATTCCCCGAGCTTTCCCTTCTCCAGGCTGAGCAGTCCCGGCTCTCTCAGCCTTTCCTCATAGGACAGGTGCTCCAATCCATTGTCTTTGTATCTTTCTGTTGTTCTCTCTCCGGTATGTCCATGTCTCTCTTGTACTGGGGAGTCCAAAACTATACACAGCCCTCCAGGAGTGGCCTCACCAGTGCTGAGTAGAGGGGAAGGATCTCCTCCCTTGACCTGCTGGCAACGCTCTTCCTAATGCAGCCCAGGACATCAGTAGTCTTTTTTACTGCAAAGGCACTTTGCTAGCTCAAGTTCAACCTGGTGTCCACGAGGACCCTCAGCAGCCTTCTCTGCAGAGCTACTTCCCACTTGGTCAACCCCCAGTATATACTGGTGCCTGGGGTTGTTCCTCCCCAGTGGCAGGACTTTGCAATTTTCCTTGTTGAACTTAATGACATGCCTGGCAGCCTGTTTCTCCAGCCCGTTGAGGTGCCTCACTTGATGCTTCTCCCTTGTGCTCCTCTCTTTTGGTAGTGATGCGGGGAATCACAAATTTACAACCAGTAAGGTTATAGAGTAGTGAAACAAAAAAGGGGCCCAAACAATAGGCCTCAAACCAAAGTTGACTTCTGAGTGAATTCCCCAACCAGCAACCAGCATCTTATCAGCAGCATGAAGCAGCCAGCATCTTATCAGTGTGAAATGCAACCCTGGGAACAATCCCTGGAAACAATCAGTACACAACAGGCAGTAACTATAAATCCCAAATGTACAGAAAAAGAGTAATTCCTCAGACGTGCCCAGATCCTGGCCAGATCCGAACACACCTGAGTGAGGCATGTCAATCTACCAGATATCTCCTGTGCATTTTGTTTAGACTTGTTTGTTAAACTGTACAAAAGCCGGGCCCTCTCACAGCACAGACGCAGACCTCCCCTACGAGCGGACGCCCTGCGTGGGACTTCCCAGCTGCCGGGAAAGGCTCTGCGACCCTTCGCTGGGACGGGGCTCCCCAGCTGATGCACGGGTCGGGGGGATGGTAAAGTAGGAGGGCAACTGGTGATGGATCTTAATCACTATAGCCAGCTTTATGTAGTAATGACTAGGTGCGTTACCTTGCTTATTCTTTCTGCTGCTTTAAACTGAAGTAAAATAAGCCTATTTCTTTAGCTTGGTGTCTGTGTCCTTTGTGTTAACCTCGTCAATTGGCAAAACAAGTAGGTATGTTTATTCAGCGCTGGGCACACGGTGGGGGGGGGGGGGGGGGGGGGGGGGGAATAATTTCCTCCAAATGCGTGCCCACCAGGAGCCAAAAGGGGCTCCCTTTTATTGTATAAAACGTTACATATTCATTATCTATCCTAATACATATGCATCACTACTCTGAGGACAGGGAGGGAATATTACCATTAGTTCCAAGAAATCGTTAACATATCCCCCCACCCCAAATTGCTCCTGTCGCGTTTGCGCGGTGCTCCCTGGTGGTCATGGGCAGGGGTCTTCAGATGAAGGCTCGTAGTCTTCTTCACCGTGTTCGCTAGCTGACCCTTACTTCTGTGCCAACTCAGTCCTGTGGTCACCTGCACCTTGTCCTTCAAGTCTGGGCTAATTTGCAGCTCCTTTGTCTTTCTGGCTCAGTGGTTTCAGTTCCCCTCTTATCTCAAGGACAAGAGATACCAGAGATGGCCCGTCCTGTCTTCCTTCCATTCAATCACAAGGAAGTTACCGTCCTTTGATAGGGACCATCAATGGCCCACCTTGTTCTTTCTCATTCCATTGCAAAGGAGTCACCATCCTTTGATGGATGGAGGCCACCTGGTGAGCATCCCAAGAAGGGGGGGGGCTATTGGGTTAGTGTGAGCATCCCCTGACAGGGGGCCGGCTGGCGAGTTAGTGTTACCATCCCCTGAAAAAGGGGGGGCTATCGGGTTAGTGTTTCCTCAGATCAGTAGCTGTTTACCTTTGTAGCCACTCAAGCTGTTTAGAAAGTGCAGTAGGTCGCCAAGTATTGAAGTCAACAAGCCGTTGCATTATAGTGCGTATGTTGACAGCCCAATTCTTACTGTCATGTCAAATTTGACACAAGCAGTATGGCTCTTCAAACTCTGATTGTGCAAAAAGCTGTTGAGAATCTACCACATAATTACATCTTTTCCTTCTGTCTCAGATGCCAACTGTTGCCAGAACTTTGCCAATGTTTATCTAGTAACGTAGTTCCTATTATTGCTAACTCTGATATTAGATGTGAAAAAGCTGAATAATATGATGTCATATTTGGCCAGAAAACAAAACAAAACAAAACAAAACAACTTTCACTGTGACTCTTGTACAGTTGTATCAGCTTTCTGCTTTTCTCTAATAAATGGCTTTCTCTGATTTTGGGATCTCTAGTATTTGTGGCGGACAGTGTTCCAGAGCTGAGAATGCGAGGGCCTTGCAATACCTGCAGGGAATGCCAAGGAATTTCCACCACAGCTAATGGTATGAGAAGGACGAAGATCTAAATCCTACCATGTTTTATACTGCAGGCTGTTAGTGTGCCAGTTTAACATGGCGCATGTCACGTTAGCACTGCCGCACACTTCAGTGAATATGCCCTCCTGCAGCATTTAAGCTCAACTAAAACATTGTGAGAGTAGCAGTGGGGAAGCAATTCCCAGCCCGGCGTCCCAGGAGCGGTGTGAGAGGGAGCACCCTCTGCAGCGGGACCCCTCGGAGCGGGGGGGCTCAGCTGGCAGAGGAGCTGGCTGGCAGAGCCATCGGGCACAGAGCCCTCGTGTGCAGTGAACCCCAAAAGGGAACCGGGGGACACCAGGTTGCTGGGGGGGATGGAGTCCAACCTGGGGCTGACTCCAGGGAAGGGAGCAGTGAAGCCAACGTGCTGGCTGAGGAGACGGCGCACAAAAAGGAAGAACACAGGTTCTGAGGGCCACCTTTGGGCATCACGCCGTGTTTGTGGATCCGCGAACTTTTTCACAAGACTCCTCACAGGGGAGGCACGGCCGGGGAACGCAGCGGATCCAGCGACATCAGGTGCCCGGCAGCAGAATGGTTGCTGAGGTGCGGTGTGGGGGGCAGACTGCCGCCCTGGGTGGCCCACCAAGGGACTGGCTCGCCGCCACTCAGGACCGCAGCCCTGGCGCGGGGGTCTTCACGAAGATGTCCTTTCCCTGGCAGCCAAACAGTGAAATGCCAGGAGAGGTTAGGGAAGGCGGTAAAGCAGGGGAAGGGTGGGTTCACACTCAGCTCCGCGCAGGTTCTGGCCTGGAGTCCCGCGCCGCGGGGCTGGGGTCCCAGTCCCCACCCAGCTGTGGGGATACAGGGGCTTTGCCTGTGGGGAGCCTCGCGCGGCGGGGCGTGGGGTCCCCCCTTACACACAGGCCGCGGGGGGGGGGGGTGTGGGGTGTGGGGTGTGCGGGCGCCCTCCGGCCGCGAGGGGGCGCGGCGGCTGCCGCACCGCCCGGTGCGCGCGGGCCATGGCGGAGCCGCGTTGGGGCGCGGCCGCCGCCGTTTATCGGTCCCGCGACCCCGTGCGCAACCTGCGCCTGCGGTGAGCGCCCGCCCCGGCCCCGGCACCCCCGGCCCCGGGACCCCCGGCCCCGGCACCCCCGGCCCGCCGTCACGCTCCCTCCCTGCTTTCTCCCGCAGGGTCCGCCTCCAGCGGGTCGCGGCGGGCGGGCCCGTCCTGCCGCAGGCCCCGCTCGCCGGCCCGCACCTCCGGGGCCTGGCCGACCGCGCCGCGACCGGTACGTGGGGCGCCCGGGCGGGGAGGGGCCACCACCGCCGGGGTGACCGAGCCCTCTCCCGCAGGTCCCCGGCGGCCCCCGGACGAGGAGGAAGAGGAGGCCGAGGTGGGGTGGCAAGAGAAGCTCTTCAGCCAGGTGGGTTCGCGGCGGCGGGCGGGGCGGGGGGGGGGGGTGTCTAGGGGTGCTGCCGGTGGTTGTGCGGCCCCAGCGCCCCCCACCCCCGCGCTTCGGGGCGAGCTGCTGTGCCCGGGCCCCTCCGGGCCGGCATCGGTGGGTGCCGTTGGCCGCTGCATGTCTGAAACAGCGTTGGGGCCACCCTGGGCCTGGGATTGTTTGCTGGGATTCCCGGAGGATCTTGTCCCTCTCTGTGGTGGCTTTGGAAATCTCAGCTGAAAAGTGTTTGTGGCTCCGACAGTGGTGGTGAAAGGCAGGTTTTGCGCTTTACCTGTGGTGCTCTCAGTTTGAGGTGGAGCTGTACCAAAATGAGTCGGCCTGCCAGACTCCCCTGGACTGGCAGTACCATGAGGAGATCCTGAAACTGCAGAAGGCTGGAGGTCGGAAGAACTGTCGCATCTTCACCTACACTGATCATGACCGGTTCACCAACCTAGAGGAGGTACCAGCTCTTAGTTACACGTAGTTTGTACAGCAGTGTTTGTCAAAACCACCAGGCCTACTGCAGAGAGAACATTTGTCAGTTCTTGCAGCTTCATGCAGAACAAAGCCAGAGATCCTGTATGCAGGAGAACATACTGCTTCTGCAAAGCACCTTCACCTGTTGCCCCAGGCTAGGGATGAGATCTCCCTGCTTCAGAACGATGGTCGGGGCAGCTTGGAGGGACTTGACTTTGTAGGATTGCTCTGTAGGTAACTTGCTGGGTGAAGTTTAGCTGTACTTTGCCACAGGAACAGCGAATGAAATCTACAGTCTTTCAGCAGTTCGTCCTTGCATGTGGGTGCATACATACCTGTTCTCTCCTCCAGGGGTGGAGCTGTGTTTGGGAAAGACATCCTGTTACAATTAAGCTAGTTCCCCTCTGTTTCTCTCTTCCAGCACTGCCAGAAAGTAACTGACTCAGATCATGAAGTGCCATCATACCTGGCAGAGAGGATGGCCAACGTGAGGAGGAGAAGACAAGACCGTAGACCAATGTGAGTGCAGACTGGAGCTCGAAGCTTGCTAATGCAGGTTTCCTGGTGCTGGTGCCTCAACTGCAGAGCAGCCTGGTCCGTGGAAGTTGGTGGTTGGAGCTGTGTCACACTTAGAATCCAGCAGTTTGACTCCTTGTCATGGGGGGTCCAGTGCTGCCTGTGCCAGGCTGCTGATGAGAGATGTGGCTTGTGCTGTTCTGTTGTTGACAGAGAAGCAAGTTCTCTGAAGTCGAAAATCATCACCTGGGAACCCTCAGAAGAATTTATAAAGAACAGTCATGTGATTAACACTCCTGTCCAGACCATGTACATCATGGGGGACTTGGGACCTTATGGGAAGTAAGTAAAATCCTGAAGTGATCTTAATTTCCCGGAATGAAACCCATCTTCCCTCCTTATGCAAATCTTCTGTTTCTTTCATTAGCTAAGGGGAGAGAATTTCAAGAGCTCAGTAACTTGGGCTGCTATTTTTTACTGCCTCTTTCCTCAGTTGAGAGGCAACTGAGTATATCCCTCCAAAAGGCTTCTTAAACTAATGTGGGAAAGTATGGGTGTGTTTGTTCCCTTCTGTATCCCCATGTGCCTTTACCAGCTCTGCTGTTCCAGAGAAAGAGAGTGTCCGTGTTTTCTAAACTGTGTTTCTTGATGTCTTCTATTAGGCTTGGTCACAGGGAGTATGAATATGTTCTTTGCACAATCAAGGTGGACGGCAACGGGGTGATCACAGTGAAGCCTGACTTTACTGGCACCAAAGAAGCCTGCCAGTGAGTGGGACAGGGCTGGTACCTCTTATGGGACTGATACAGAGGGCTGAAATGGCTGTTTCCTGGTCACCCTTCTGGCAGTGGATCAGAGCTTAAATTCAGGGATATTTTGTAGTTTTATTCTAGAGATTTCTAGGACAAGATTATTGCATACTTGTGCTTGGTGTCAGCGTGTGTGTGTGATGTGTGGCCACACCTTGGGGATACAGGTTATGCATATGCTGGACAAAAGTGAGTCTCCCCTTTTGAGTCGTTGGTGCTGGCAGGCACTTGGGAGCGAGGAGAGGGCTGTTGGTGCCCTCGTGTTACTGCACAGGCCTGGGGTGGGGGGTGGGGGCTGCTGGGTCAGGTTGGCACAGTTGATGTTGTCGCTGCCTGTGCCTATTCTCTGAGTAATGGGGGAGTTTTGCCCTTGTGTTCTGGGGCTCTGCAGGATCGAGCAGGATGGAGAGAAGCGAGAGGTGTGGAAATACACCATTGAGAATGCATCTGTCCAAGTGCAGCCAGAGGAGGAGGAGCGTGAGCAGCGTGTGTTCAGAGATGTAAGGACCAGCCTCCACTGACCGTACTGACTAGTTCTCTTGGGTTGGCAGTGGGAGCTCAGACCCTCATGTAGATGTAATTGTTAGTGCAGTAGACACCTAAAGGTGACAAAATGAATGTCACTGGCGGTGAGTCTCATCATGCCCATTAATTCGAGAACTCCCTCACAGCTTCATTCCTTACTACTAGGTCCAGTATCTAACCTTGTCCAATATCAGTTGAGTTGGCCTCGGACTGCAGTGGTCTATGTAGTGAGAATTGATACAAGAAACCATCTAAATCTGTGCCTTTCTCGTGTCACCTGCCAATGGTTTTCCTTCCCATTTGAGCAGTGGGCAAACCCGTTCCTTGGTCTTCCTCTTGCTGCCTGTATACTTGCTGAATGATTTCTTGTTACTCATAATGTCCTAGGATGTTTGGATCTCCTTTTATGTCTTGATCTTTCTGAATTGCCTTTTTGGCTGTGGCAGTTTATAAAGGTACTTAATGTTTTAGTTTTTCACTGTACATTTCCTTACTGCTTTAGTGGTCAATAAGGAAATGATTTCTCTACACTGATCTCCCATCTGTTGATTTCATTGGAACAGTTTATGCCTGTTTTTAACATGCCATTTAAGATCTGCTGATTCTTCGGAGCTTCTTTTTCCGTTAGATTGGCCTGAAGCTGAAGTTCTATGCAGTGTTAGCAGTTACACATCTTTGTTCTGTTAGATTCTTATATTCTCTATATCTGCTATAAGAATTTAAAAAACCCCTGTGTGCTAAGCTTGTCAACAATTTAAATTGGTTTTAAATTATATCCACCGCAATTTTTGCAATAAGTAAAACCACATATAATCAAAAAGACACTTTTTCTAATCCACTTGTTCTGTGTTTTCAGCTGTATGGTCGGCACAAGGAATACCTCAGTGGTCTCGTAGGCTCAGAATTTGAAATGGTGAGTACCAGTGGCACTTGGCAGGGACCTGGAGCCCTGTTGCCTTTCGAGACTGTTGACCTGGTCAGCATGGCTGCCGTTTGTACCTCAGTCTCCAAAGACTTTAATTCTGGGGATGTGTTGGCAGCTTTTACTCTGTGGTTTCCAACAGGAAATTGGTTCAAAGGGACAGGTTGCAGTGGATATGGGGCCTGCAGAGGTCCACCCTGCATCTGTTGGACCTGCAGCAGAGCGGGCTGAATGCTGCAGTCTCACATGCATTGTCTGAAGGCCTTTGACTATAATACTTCAAGAAGAAAGGAGTGTTTATATCTTTTGGGATAGTGATTGTTGTTAACTTCTTGTCAGACACATCTGTGTGCCACTTTGTTCAAGTAAACAGCCACACCCACCCCCAAACTCATGCACAGTTTCCCTTCTCACTGAATTACCCAGACTGCAGTCTTTTTGGCTCAAATCTTGTTTGCCAAAGTGTGAAAGTTGTTGTACTTTCTGTACTTCTGCAGAGTGTCTCAGCTTATCCTATGCTTCCCCTTGCTTGGCTAAGGGCAGGAACACTACAGGAGAAACAGGACTATGATTTCTGCAGGTGACTTCTCACTAGGCTTTATATCCATCTTGAAGTCTGTAAGACTGATTTACAGAATAGTAAACTCCTGCAGTCTAGGAGGGACTGGTCACTTCTGGACAGTGATAAGAGAAGTCATGACTTTTACCTGGCCAGCACAGTGAATCATTCATTTACAAACGTCTGTGAAATACCCATGTGAGACCCTGCTGAGAGGGGATTGTATGAAATTCCACCTGTGGTCATTGAGCTCTTTATCTTGTTTATCTGCTTGTTCTTACAGACTCTTCCTGGTACATTGCGGCTTTTTGTGAATGGAGAAATAGGTGAGTCCTTATTATAAAGTGTAACTACAGGGACAAATTTGGGTCTACTGGGATGGCTGAGGCTACGAAGGGTCCAGGGATTCTTGGATCACAAGGCCCATCCAGAGGAGGTGATTCTCTCCCTAGAATCCTTTACTTTCTCCTCTCCTACTCTTTTTTTTGTGGACTAACCCCTTGGGCAGCATTTACAGATTGGAGGTTACAAATACTGCAGCAGTTCTAGGAAGACATACAGATCTGAAAAAATGAAACCAGACTGCGAAGCTAATAGAGATTATAGCAAAGAAAGCAATTAAATGTGTGACCTCCCTGATCTGGTTAGTGATGCAGGGACAGGGCTAGTCTAGTGAAAGAATCTTCTCTGAGGGTCACATTCTGTTACTTTGAAGACCGTGGCTTTTACCAGCTTCCAGCAGTAATGGGTTGTTGCTGAGGTTATTGGTGCTGGCTCTCCCATAAGTCTCCAGTCAGTACTGGAGGAGTTTGGAAGTCAGCAGCTGAAGCTCATTCTCTCCTCTCAGTTTCAGCTCAAGGCTATGAGTATGACAACCTCTATGTACATTTTTTCCTGGAGCTGCCTAACCGTAAGTATTCATGTTTCCAGCCATATCACAGCAGTTTAAGGAATGAAACCTGCTTTGGCTGGTCCATCAGATCAGCTCTGCTGAAAGTCAGTAAAAGTTAATGTTGGGGCTGGGATCTAGTCAGAAGTCTTCAGAGCTAAAATTGCAGAACTCAACTGTTTGAACTAAACTCATGTCTGGGAGAAAGTAGCAACTTCCCCTCTCGTCTGTTACAAGTCAGGCAGGGACACAGAGGTCCATTGGCTTCTCAGCCAGCGGTGATGGTGTCCAGCAGTCTATCCTTAGTTCATTCCTTATACTGTAGAGAATAGCCTTCCTGTCTTCTCCATCTCAGCAGTCACCTTGTTTGATTTCAGTGCTCACCGTCACGTTCTCATGTTTTGTGCTGACACTAACATATTACATTTGGACTGATAAATAAGATTCCCAGCACTAACATGCACATCCTGCTCCATGTTAAAGTCCCCTGAAGCTATGGCTCTGACTTCACTCTCTGGTTATACCCTGATGTTTGTCCAAAGAGGTACCACTTTTGCTACTCAGTATATTTAAATAAGGTTCTACTTTTCTCTTAAGATGGAGTTGGTGCTTTTCATTGACAGTTCAGGGTGTTCTGGGGAGCAGCCATTGCCTGGAACAAGATGAGGTGGGACACACATAGGGAGTTTCAGTGTGGATGATGTTATCTGTTATCCCAGTCTGGGGCTGACATTTGCCTTTGAGCTGCTGTGGTTTGTAAGTCCTCCCTCTCACCCAAAGCATTCACCAATGTGCTCCCATTTTCCTCTTCTCCCAGAGTGGTCGAGCCCCGTGCTCCAGCAGCTATCAGGAGTGACACAGACGTGTGCCACCAAGACAGTGGGTTGGGTAAGGATGCTTTCAGACCTGCAGAGCAGTTGGAACAGGCATTCTCTGAAGTGGAACGTGTGTAACAAGCTACAGATGTATTCAGCAAAGGTCGTGACTTGACAGCTCCTTTCGAGGGCAGAGCACGTTTGGCATTCTTCTCATTCAAGTTGCCGTTTTCTGGGGTGTTTCTGTGTCCAGATAAAACTAGACCAAATAAAACTGCTTCAAAGCGGTTTCTGGAACCCCACTTTTTTCTTCCTTCTGGCTTCTGGCCTTTGGAGCTTTGATTTTTGTGTTCTCAAAACATTGTTCTGGCTTGACTGGCACAGGAATGCACACAGTCTCTACATTGACTTCTCAAAGCGAACACCATCTCCTATTTGGGAAGTTGGTTCCATTGCTGTCTCCAGCTCCTCTCTTAGAAAATTTGACTTTTATCAACTTCTTAGTGTCTTCTTGCTGAGCTAGTTTGTGTATTACAAAAATAATTATACAACATTTCAGTAATACCATTGTTTTGAGTTATTTTGCTTGGTTCCCATCAAGATTATGGTGGTATAGTAGTTATTCAGCTGACTGAATTGACATTTGAGATGTGTTGTTCTTTTCCATTTTTTGTTATTTTTAACAGCCTTTTCCATCTACGTGGTGCTTGGGAGTGTATGCAGGTCCATCGTGCAGTCAGGTGTTAGTGTGATGTGATTGATCTTGTTTGAGCATCATTACCTCTTTTCTACTGTTAGTTCTTTTCTCCCTGCTCTCTGTGCCCCCTGCAATGCTAGTAATGAATTCTTTTGTCCAGGAATCTGATCTATGGCCTGTTCCTTTTCTAGGATAACGTGGCATACTTCTGCTACCCCTTCACTTTGGAGATGTTTTTCACCCAAGGAGATGAATCAGAAGGTGTGTTTCCTTTTTGCTCTGAAGTGTGAAACTGAAATCTTTTGACCGCAGTGTAGGCATTGTGCTGTCTGGCGTGTTGTTACCCTGTCACCAAGGTGAGAGGGAAATGTTGCTCGTTCAACAAACGTTCACCCTGACACCACACAGCTGCTGGACACATACTATATTTGCCCAGCAGTGCATTAGCATTTGTATGGATTTACTGATGTTGCCCTGCTTACAGGCTGTAGTCTGCTTTATCCAGTTGCAAAACTACTTAGATCTTAGCTTGTCTGTCTCAGAATGCCTAGCGTGCTGGTCTGTGATCCCATGGCTGGTGTACTGCACAGGGCCCTGGGACTCTGCAGCAGAAGAGATGGGCAGCTTTTTTGTGTACACAACTGAAACTCTGTGCTGACTCTTACGTTTGAAGACATACTTGGTGATCTGTATAATCTTTGTATAGTTTATGTCACTTTGAAACTTCCTGCTCTATTTTAAGCTGGGCTTCTCTGCTGCCTATTCCTGCTGCTTCACTGCACTACTGCTGCTTCCTCACCAAGCCCATTGCTCTTTGGATTGCAATTGCTAGGGACAGCTTTGCGGCACATGACTTGCCACTTGAATCCAATGTACGCATTGGATTTCAGTATTCAACCAACACTAATGAATTTTCAGCCTAGAACAAACATGGTGAGTTTGTTTCACCATGGAAAAAATAAATGCTTGGAAACCTGTAGGAAAATGCAAGTTAATCATCTCCCAATGGTGGTGGGAAAGGTCAAGAGATAAAAAGGTTTCCTTGTTTGGCATCAGATCATTCACAAAGATTGTCTTGTCTGCTCAAAGATAATCGAACCAGTTTGCACTTGCTCTCAAAACAGAATTTTCCCGAATTTTTAACATCTTGTCAAAAATTCTATTATTATCCTGAAATCTGAAGGTTCAGCTTTTACAGGGGAAAATAATCACCCATACATTTAGGTTTGTTATTCTAGAAGAAATACAGAAAGGACTTCCTACTAGTGGAGTTGGGCCTTTAGCTTTTTTTTTCTCTGATAGTCTCCCTCACAAAGCTGTGATCGGCTCCCCTTCCTTTCAGACAGTCTTGCTCAGTGGCCTGTTCTCTACTTTGAGGTCCTGTCCCTGGATTTCTGGCAGAGGTATCGCGTTGAAGGGTATGGTTCTTTGGTGCTGCCAGCATCTCCAGGTAAAACACACTTGGCATTATGTTAATTGTCTGGGAGAATAAGTTGAGTGGTTCTCTTGGGAATGGATTCAGCTGGTCCTGGGGACACTCTGCCTTTGCATGAGTTACCTGTCTGTGGGGCATCAAAGAAGGATTGGATGCATCCTGCACCATTCTGCCTTATTGAGTCACATCAGGTGTTGCTCACTCCTCTGGTGGTTTCATAACAAAATCTTGTGTGATAAAGCTCTGGGGTGATGCTGCATATCCATCTTTACTATAGCAGTAGCCTTCTCTGGCCCACATGGAATCTGAGGGTCATAACTATTCTGACACCCACGTATAGTAAGGAGATGCTCCTCATGGGCAGGGGATGCTTTCAGTACCAGCTGTGTGACTGTATGGGACTGACTCGTTGAGAAAATGTTATAGAGACACTGGACAGTGTTGCCATTTCCACCTTACTGTGGTTTGGGTGAGCAGGTATCCATCTGCCATACTGTCCTCTCTGACCCTGAATGGATTGTTGGTCATAGCTGCTCACTGTCCTGTTGTCCTGGGCCAGGTCTCCACATGCTCACCATCCCTACCTGGCGCCCTGTGGAGCTGGGGACAGTTGCTGAGCTGAGAAGATTTTTCATTGGTGGATCTCCTGAGCTAGAGGACTTAACCTACATCAGGATACCATCAACTTTCAAGGTGGGCTCAGCTGCAGGACATTACTCTTGCTGGGAGATGGTAGATTATGCTCTCAGCTTCAGATGTCTGTGGGCAGCCTGGACCAGAATTGAACAAGGATCAGCTGGTGGTCCTGTCCCTCTGACTAAAGAAATATCTCCTCTGTGAGACTTGTGATCGTGAACAGAGGAATGTGCGAACACTGAGGCAAAGCTCTGTGCCTGCTAAGGTGTGTGCAGATTAGGCAGGTGGGTGAACATGGACCAGAGCCTTGACTTACCCTTGCCTGTGTGGAAAGTGACTGCCAGGTCAGTGTTTGTTACCAGCTATAGACTTCTTCCTGGATTTTTGTAAGGAGTCTGGGTTGTACTGCACCTAGAACAGTTTCACGAAGCAAGAAGCTGATGGGTGTGAGGCAGACAGAAGTTTCATGTTCTTAAGAAAGCTCCAGAGGTGCTTGCTGGTGTAATGAGCAAGTTGATCTTAGCAGCTTTGCATGGGAATGAGCCCTGATGCAGTTTTTGAAACCTTCCTCCAGCACTGCACTGTCAGCTTCCTCGTATTTAGGTCCTGCCCTCAGCACAGCCTGGAACTGTCTGCCCTTCTTTCTGACCTTGTTTTCTGTGTGCAGTGGGGAAGGGAGAGACTGTGCCCACAAGGTGCGTGCTCCTGGTGCAGCATGCTTGTTTTCACTAAGGTCAGCCTGCTGCAGCAGGTTGCAGACTGCAGTTACTCTTGTGCCATCTTTGCAGGGAGAGCGTCTGAGCCGCTTTGGTTTTCGCACAGAGGCAACAGGGAGCGTCACGTTCCGGCTTTACTGCCTGCAGCAGTCTAAGTACGTGCAGCAGAGTGAGTATGAGCTCCATCTTACGCGCTGTGTTTTGGCAGTCCTGACCTCCTGCTGTACTTCTGTGCAGAGCCTTTCTGGAAACCAGTGCCCTGAGGCAGCGCATGCAGAGTGTGCTGGACCGGCTTGGAGGCTTCAGCCAGCAGAGCTCTGTCTACAACGTTTTGGGTAGGGCTTTCAGTGTCATTCTCCCTGGCAAGCCTTTGGCCCACTTTTGCCCCCTTTTTACAGAGTGGGCAGGATATTTCAGGAGAAATCGATTACTGTGGGGGTAATTGCCCCCTCCATGAGAGCTCTGAGTCCATAGCAGAGGTTAAATGTTCTGATCTGAGCTGGAAGCTTCAGGAGGTATCAGCTCTCAGCAGGCAGGAGGGATAATCACTCTGTGAGGGCACAGCCCAGGCTGGGCCACACAGTCTTGCCTGGCCCTGAACACAGCTTGTGGTGCCGATGCACAAGCTCTGTCTCCAACTCCATTACGCACAGAGCAGAGACAATGCAAGACATAAGAGAGCAGCAAGGACCAGGTGCTTTGTTGGTGGAACTTAGCAGTGGGAAGTGAGACTCCTGCTCCGGGAGAGGTGATGTTCACTGGACGGACTCATCCCTCCCCTTCCCTGAGGCTGTCCGATGCATTCTGGCTTGCTGACACCTGTTGTGTTGCAGAGTCTTTCCAGAGGGCACGGCGGCGGATGCAGGAAGCACGTGAGAGCCTTCCTCAAGACCTCATCAGCACCTCTGCCTCCACTGGGCACCAGTCACAGGAGCCATGATCAACCACCTCCACAGCCTGGGAGCACTCGGCATCTTCTCTCCAACACAACCTCCTGTTGTTCAGCAAGAGGCACAGTGCTAGTGCCTGGAAGCTTTTGAAACCCGCCCTTTGTCATTTTCCCTGGATGGGAGAAGGAGTCTATAACACATCCAGACCCAGAATCTTTGCTTTTCCACAGGTACCTGTGGAAAGAGCCCCATTTTTTCAAGGCATTTTGCCACCAGACCAATTATTATACAGCCAATTGTTCACATTGCTGCTGAGCAGGCTGAAATACTGATACGGGACTTGTGAACCCTTTAACACCTTTTCAGGAATTGAACAGTAAAAGATTAGAAAAATTTCAAGTCTACATGACTTGGTAAATTTAGTTTTCTTCTTAAAGAAGAGGGTGATGTTGGAGGTCAAGGCATGAATACTGTTTGAGATTTAATGAAATGCGTAGATAACTTCTTGAGAAGTGCTGATAATTGTCAGCATTTGTAGCTATAGGTCAGTCAATAGTAAAATGAATCTGTCCACCTGTGTCTTAAGATTGATTCACTCCTAGAGAGAGAGCTCTCTGCCACATATAATACGTGAAATCAAAGCAAAGGAATGATGTTTGACAGAATGAGAACTGGAGAAAAGGGTTACATTCTGTATTTCCTTGTTTGTGCCCATAACATTTCTGGCTATGCAGTGATGAGCAGGAGGGTTCTTTGTTCAAGAATACAACTGAAAACACACATTCCCCTTAGTTCATAGCAGAACTTTGGCTTGAGCTGGACGGTTTGCAGACAATGAGAGCAGATTATAACATTTGCACAGCAGCTGAACTTTGAACTGTCAAGCTGTTCATTTGAGCTATTTGAGCTATGGTTCACTGTTTCATCTCTGCAGTACACTGCATTGCTTCCTGGAGAAGCATGTGTGTACCCAATTTTTTCCCAGTTTCTTCTGTTCTTTTATCAGACTTTTTTCCCCCTGTTTTGCTGCCTCAGGTTCACAGGAGTGAAGCTACCTGCAGACTGACAGTGCTGTGTTAATTTGTGTACAAGTCACACATTTTCATGTGTTCCTCCTCTGCTCCCAACACAAGGGATAGGAAGAAAAATCTCAGGATGGGATCATGCAGGTCTGAATGTGTCTGTAAAGTTAGAATTCACAGGCAGAATCTGAAGTAGGGATTGGCCTTCGTCCTTTTGCCCTGCACATTCCTCCCTCATGGGGAACAGGAGACTCACGGTTGCAGCCATGTGTGTGATTGTTAGTACATCCCTTTCTTCCATTGTGCTCCACTGTCTTTCTCACTCCCTTCTTGCTGTTTTGATCTTGTCCCAGCCTTCACTGGGAAGACAAGCTCCCATATTTGTTCCTCCTTGACCTTTGTTGTAATTCCTAGATCTGTCTGTCAACTTGAATGTGTCTGGCAATTTCAATTATAAAAGGATTTTTGCTCACCTGCCTCACCTGCTACCTCTCCTTTTGATGGAAGAGGCTGCCAGCATGTATTAGATAGCGTGGCCTGTTAAGCAGAGCGCAGTGTCCTTGGCCTGGAGCTGGGTGATGTGTCTTGTGCATGAGTCAGGTCTCCACATCAGCTTTTGATGTGATGGCTGTGAAGGTACGTGACCCGTTCTAGAGTAGCAGAACTGAGGTGTGGGCACTATCATGGTCTTCAATGACAGTCACATTTCACAGAGAGCAACCCGCTCGATGCCCAGGATGGAAAGTGTTCAATGAGTATGTAGCACTCACTGTATTCTTTCCTTTATCATAATTCACATCATGGCTCTGTATGTTTATTGCATGCTATCTAAGCTATACTTAATTTCTGTGTGTTTCTGTTGTGCTTATCACTAATAACTGAATTGCATGTCTGAAACCCTTTTCAGGATTGAGTTACAAGGTTTAAGAGAGCATTCTTTTCATCAAAATAACAAAACACCTTCCTGATTGAGATCATGCCAAAGGCAGATACTGTGAGAGAGTGGACTTTTCTGATTAGATGGGGTTCCTGACTCATGATCATTGCTCAGCATGTTTATATGGCAGGATTTGGTGTATTGAGTGTTAAGGTTACGCAGAGATATGGTAAGGTTTACATAATGATACCAGTTTTGCTAGTCTAAACTCTGAATAGTGTAAAATCTTACAGAAATTCAAGAAAGCAACATTTAAAAATAAAAAGTTATTATAACCAAAGAAGCAGTTTTTCCAAATGAAAATGTTAGCAGTTTTTTTCCTTCGTATTTGCAGCCTCCTTGGCCTAACAGAACAAAACAGTGCTCATAAAAAATGTTTTGGAGAAAGCCTTCAGCGAATGTTCTTTGAATATGCCCTTTTATAAATTAAACTAGCAAATTTCCTTGTGCATGTATGAAAATGTCACTGATCTTTTAATGAAAGCTGGCGTTTGGTGCAGGGCTTGTGCTCTGAGCTTGCCAAGGAGCCCAGCTAGCTGGAATGGGGATCATGCATCCACCAGCTATGCACAGATGAAATAGGGGATTGCCCATGGGGACGGAGAGAAGGGGAGGGCAGTGACCTCCCTGGAGCTGTGAGGATTTCCTCTGTGCAGAAGCGTCCCTTCCTACAGTTTGCATTGGAGCGGTGCCTTTGCAGTGAAACTCAACAGAAGTTGAGGGTGCACAAGAGTTTGGGAGGGGAGGCCGGTAGTTACTGGGGCAGAGGAGCCTGGCAGGCTGGGGGATGCCATGAGCTGGGGATGGGAGAAGGCTGGAGAGCAGGAGGAGCCTGCAGCAGGCACAGGCTAGGCAGAGCTGGGGACTCGTGGGGACCAGAGTGGGTCTAGCAATGAGACTCGGGAGTTCTTTGTTGTCCCTGGTGCAAGGCCAGCAGCCCCCCGGCTCTGGCTACATCAGCAGCACAGCTGGTTTCTCTTGAGCTTTGTCTGCTTCTTCCTTGGGGGCAGACTGGAGCTGTGGTTTTTTTTTGAGCGCCAGCTGAACAGGCATCGGTCTGAGGCTGAACCCTGCAGCCTTACCGGTGATGCCGTCTGCATGGGGGCAGGAGCCAGCTGAAAGCCCTCAGGGGCCTTCTGGGCATCTCGTTAAATAAACTGGGCAAACAAAGGGTAATTGCAGAAAAGTTGGCTTGGTGGACGAAAAGGCTGTGGGCAGTTGGCAGGGCTTGCATGATGCAAATCAGCAGCCATCGGTAATTCCAGTGTAAATGTAACAGAAGAAGAAAACCTAGAAATGAGTCATTCGGGTGATTGGGGGAACAATAAAGAAGTCAGACCCCAGGAATGGGTTTTGCTCCCGACTGAGGAAGATTTGGATTGTGCTAACTTCGGACTAGAGCCTTGCCAGCAAAACTCAAACACCTCTTTGGCTTGGTCCCATCCCAGCGCTCGTGATGAACCGGGGACACGGCGTTTCTTCTCCTGATGTGACTGCAGGGGACGTTCTGGCCTGGGAGGGTGGGCTGTGCTGCCCACTTCCCACGCTGCTGCACCAGCGGGCAGAGGCTCTGCAGCCGGTATTTGGGAAGGACCCCGGGCTGTGTGCAGGGAGCTGCCGGCTCCAGGGGGAAGGAGCTGTAGCAGCCACGCATCCCACAGAGATTTGTCTTGCCGCCGCGTGCTGCGTGGAGAGGGAGAGGTGTGTTTTAGCTGCACTATGAGGTTTAAGTGGTCGTTATTAAACTCCTACTGGAGGCTGCTTGTTGGCTCAACCTGTTTTAATTTCAGCCACCTGGTTGGAGTATCAGGGGAAAGCTCCCTGCAGGCCCTCTCCTGGCAGTGAAGTGAAGGAGAGGGCTCCTTCGCCTTTCACCCCAAGCTGCCTTTTTATTAAGCTTATTGTCTTCTCGGGGTGCAGCCTGCATTCTGTAAAGCTGATGTCAGTATTTCAATGCAAGACGGGGTACAGCTGACCTGAGCGAAATCACACTTTATTGGATCAGTCAAAAAATCAAGTGACCATGTGCCCCTTTTCCTGCATTGAGGTGATTGATTTGGTTTGCTTGAATTACTCTCATTGCTTTGGTTCAAGCAGGTTTTTAAAGTGAATCCTAGTGCTGTGTAAACTGCAGGTACTTCCCTTTCTCATCTGTCAAGATCCTTTACTAGAGTAACACAGAAAATCAGAAAGGACTGATAGAATCAGACTTACTCTATAATTTATTCACAAGTTCTTTAAAAAAAAAATAAAATCTGACTTCAAAACCAGTTGGGAGGATTTCTGAAATGTGTGAAAAAGAAACTTACATTGCAGGTGTGTGATGCCAGGTTCTTTCAAGTTTTCCAGATCTGACAATGAGAGGATCAGACCCTTTGGGCTGGTGGAAAAGGTGAATTTCCTGTGACTTAATCTGGCCTTAGAAAGCCGGAGAGGTCAAGCTGGATATCAAGACCTAGTCCACTGTTTTCCTTTAGGCAACATCTCCTTGACTTAATCAAAGCCCAAGAGATGTTTGTTCAACTGTTTCTTTACATGAAGATGTAGACTACAGCTCATCCCTTCCAGATGCTTGGGGGTTTTGGTGTTTTTTTTGTGTTTTTTTTTGTTTTTTTTTTTTTTTGCTGTAGCAAATTCTCTTGTACAGATCAATTGACGGTGGCAGCTTGTTCATGAGCTGAGCAAAGCCTGTTGTCAGGCTGCTGTCGGAAGTGTGAGGAGGAGGGAGTGTGTGATTCCTGCCAGCTGATTATTGTTTCTCTGGGGGGTTCCCGTCTGTCGTGGTTTAAACCCAGCTGGCAGCACACCACGCAGCCGCTTGCTTACCCTTCCCCATCATGGGGGAGAGGGGAGAGAATTGGAGGGGTAAATGTAAGGAGGCTCATGGGTTGAGATAAAACCAATTTAATAATTGAAATTAAATAAAAATTGAAATAATAATGGTAATAATAATACATACAAATGAGTGATGCACAAGGTGATTGCTTACTACCTACCAACTGATGCCCAGCCTGTTCCTGGCTAGTGATTCCAGAGGAGGGAAAACCCTGAAACAGCAATCCCAGAAGAGCCAGATCTTCCCAGCCAACCCTCCTCAATACACTGAGCATGACACTGTATGATATGGAATATTTCATTGGCCAATTTGGGTCTTGTGCTCTGGCCGTGCTCCCTCCCAGCTTCTTGTGCACCTGCACACAGGCAGGACATGGGAAGTTGAAAAGCCCCTGGATGTTTTTTAGCAACAACTAAAACTGTCCGTGTATTGTCAACATTCTTCTCATACCAAATCCCACGCTGAATCCAAAACACAGCACTATTCTAGCTACTAAGAAGGAAAATTAGCTCTATCCAAGGTGAGACCAGGACACTGTCCCATACTGCCAGTGCCTGTGATACCTTGTTCTCTGCTGCTAGTGTCCTTGTGAGCTCTGTGATGTTCTGGTACATCACTGGGGATGGAATCAGGAGTCTGAAAGATCAGACAAGCTGTAGGCCCAAGTGAATGGCCACTTTTCCTACTGCTGCTGGAAACATCTGTTTGCTTCTCAACGCTTTGCTTGCAGCCAATATTTTCCACCACAGTTGTGCTTGCAAGGGCTGGATTCCTTCCCTCTTCCCCTTGGTCACCTCTCCTTCTCCATCCCTTTCCTTTCTCCTGTCCCATTTTGACTTTTTCTTCTTTGTGTGCATGTCACGCACAGACCTCTGTATGCATAGAGATCTGTGTGTTTATTCCTTTCTGTAGTTTAATCCTGGATGTAGTTCTGCTTCCTCTTCTCACCCAGCTGTGCCCCGTGCCCCCCACCTCTCACTATTAACACACAAGCCACTCTTTTCCCCTGTGCACCTCTGCAGCCCTTCACCCCATGAGAACAGATCTGAGCAGTGACACCGTGACACCAGCCTATGCACTGCCTGCCTTCCTGCAGCTCCTGGCCCCACCAGGCACCCTGGGCCGAGCAGAAACACCCCGGGACAGTGCACGGTGTGCAGAACAGCTGGGGGGGATGGATGCAGCACGCCCTACCAACCTGGGCTGGCCAAAACTGCAGTCTGGGGAGAGACCCCCTTGTGCACAGGGCACAGCTCTTCCCTTTTTTCCACAACAGTTGGATGCCTTTCTGTGTGCCCTGCCTCAACCTCTGCCAAGGCATAGCACAGTTTTCCTTCCCTCCTAATGTCATCCCCCTTGTTCACTGACATCACCCATTCCTGCAGGGTTCTGCTGGACCCTCTTGCCCCACAGGCAGCGTGGGGACAGGAGTTGTGCGCTCAGAAAAGCAATGGCGATGCATCTTCCTGTCGCTTGGGCACATGAGGTTGCAGACAACATTAGCTTTTCCAAAGAAACTTTTTAATGACTGTTGTCATGGAGACAAGCATTTGGGGTAATCGCCATTGGCATTATCTCTTCTCCCTAGCACGGGGAGAGGGAACCTACAGCTTGTCGGCTGGATCCTCTTGTGACTGTGGTCATACGTGCCTCTCCCTGCACGGCTCCTCCTCTCCCCAGCATCTCCCTGTTGGCATGGGCCCACACAGGCAGCGGGGTGCTGGGCTGAGGCTCCCCATGCAGTGGGCGGTGTGGAGCAGCCCATCTTAATTAGCTCATCCCCACCTTGCCCCCAAGATCCTGTCTCTCCCGTGTCACAAGACTTGGCCTGTGTTCTCAGAAGTGAGCAAGACTCCTTGGCTCCCTCAATGCTGCTTGTGCTCAGCAGCTTTGCCCTCCCCGAACAGCTTTCCAGGCTACTCCTTGACATAGTGCTTCTGGTAGCTGCTCCGGGATCTCTGTCCTGTGCCCCCAAAGGGAACAGCGTCCCTTGAAGTGGCAGCAGTGGCTGCAAAATGAACGAACGGCTTCAGGTGGTTTCTGAGCCGCAGCCAAGCTGCAGGTCTCTCAGCCCTCACTCCTGTGCCGTGTGGAGCGTGGCTGAGCTCTGGATTTCGGTCATGTCTCCATTGTCAGCCTCACTCAGGGCCAAGGGCTTGATTTTCTCTCTATTTCTGATGAGGATTAATTCTGCACCCCCTTGTTGTGCATGTCTGGGCTCGTCCTTCCATCGGCTGTCATAGTCCAGTCTCTCCCAATGGAGACAAGTCCTCAGTTACAGCAGGATTGATCTTATATCAGTTGCAGACTTCACCAGTCATCTTCCTGCAACCTCCATTCAAAATATCTTTGTAATTTTTCATGTATAAGTGGAGCGTGTGACTCCTCAGGCTTCTGTGCTGCATTTTCAGTTGCTGTCAGCTGCCCGACTCACCTGAAAGCTCATAAATACATCAAGTGCTGCAGATGCAGGTACTGTTAAAGTGAAGTGTGTCTCTGACTTTTTTTTTTTTGCACTCCCTGTTACTTGCAGCACAAATGAAGAGCTGTTTGAGCCTCCCCCGCTTAGTCCATGCATCTCAAGGACACTTGGGGAGCTGGTCTCCCCACAGCCATGTCTCAGTTCTTGGGGTCAGAGGCTGCTCCGTCTGTTGCCTCAGCTCTTGCAACACAACAAAGCTCCTGCAGCCCTCACCAGCCCAGTATAAGACAGTTGGTGGCACTGGGCACTGGAGGGAGGGTGCATGGACGGGGGATGGCTGGAAGGGAGAGGGGACCTGCAGTCCTCACTGGAGGTGAGAGGCTGTTGTGTAGCAGGAAGGGATGGCAGGGAAGTTTGCAACGGGGGAATGCTGGCCTCCATGGTACTTTGTGGAGCTTAAGAGAGGAGGAAAATGTTTATTTGGGAACCTCTTGATGGAACCTAGCTAAGAAGGGTACTTCAGATGGAGGCAAGGTAGTCCTGCTCAGTGTCTGTTATGGAGGAAAGTGCTGACCTGTCTTGCTAGCAGGGGTCTCTGCTCTGGCAGCCTGAGTGCTGGAGATCTGCCTGGCCACGTGGAGAGAGCTGAGCCATGGGGCCACGGTGGTGTCATGAGGGGACAGGCAGGATGAGCTCAGTGTTAGCCCTAGCAGGGCTAGATGCTCCAGTGTGATGATAGACAAAAGCATGGTCAGACCCACCCGCAGTCTCACTGGGCCAGCCAGAATGTGGTGTCCTAGCTCTGTTCAGAGGCAAGTGTGGAGAGCTGGGGTCCTTCTCACCCGCCTCGGGGAAGGGTGAGCATGGAGAGCACAGGGCACATGGAACTGTCCAAGGAACAGCCTCTTCCCTTGGCAGGAGGCAAAGAGCTGTTCAGGGAGGTGGAGGCAGAGACAGGGAGGTGAAACCTCGTGGTGGGCAGTGGAGACCTGAGCTGCCATGATGCGGGAGGACACCAGGCATGGGCTTTTCCTTGCTGTACTGTGGCAGCTTTGTATGTTCCCCCGTGGGTGAGACCATCCTTGGCATCAGAGTGATTTGCTGCAACAAGGTCTTCTGGGTCCTCCATGTAGGGGTGTGGGTAAAGTGAGCCCCGGCCCTAAGAAACTGCAGTAAATAAATGCAGCACAAACATGAGAAATGCTGCAACAGCTGGCTGGTTCCAGGTAACCCATACAGCTGTGCCCAACACGTAAACTCCAGCAGTGAGACCACTCTGTGCAGTGAGACCCTGCTCCTGCACTCCCAGCTGAGGTGTCCACCATCACCCCTTGGTATCAGCGCTCTTGAAAGACACCTGGATGGTGGTGGCCCAAAGACAGACCCAGACGCCTGTTCTGCTTCTTAGTGTGTGAGGAGCTGGTTTTCAAGCTAATATGTGATGGGAGCAGGAGCTTCAAATCCTCTGGGAAGAAAGCTGGTCCCTTCCCCTGCAGTAAGCCTCTGTCCCAGATGGACCCAACTCTCCACGGAAGCCAGTGGGCAGCAGCACACTGAAGGACACCAGTCCTGTCTCAGAGTGATCCGGGCCCACATCTGCGTGAGGCAGATGAGCAGAGCTGCCTGGACAGGGGAAGAAGTTTCTCCTGGAGGCAACGAGGCTCAGGGGCATGTGAGAAAGCACCAGAAGCCCTTGGTGGGGGCCTGGCAGCGTGTGCCGTGCCGAGAGCCTTCCGTGGGGGATCCCAAGGGCAGCTGGAGAAGATGCTCAGGCTCGAGCACTGAGGTGCTGGCACTAGGTGTGACTGCACCCGCTGCAGCCGCTCCTTCTGGACTGGAGGGTGGCTTGTGTGTGCAAGCATGGACTGGGGACGGAACCAGCACTGCTCTTCAGGGGGAGCTGATGGCAGGAGAGACACCTCCTTGATGCGCCTGCCCAGACTCCCCGGGAGAAGACTGAGGAAAAGACAAGAGAGCAGGGAGAAGGTGGGCTACCAGCCTCCTTGCGGAAGGCTCATGGGGGCGATGGCAGAGGGGGCAACCCCTCTTTTGGAAATGCACAGCGCTGTTGTCACTTGGGTAAATGAAGCCGGGTTCCTGGTGGTAGGGACCCTCCCAGCTGGTGGGATGTGCAGTACAGCTCCTCTGCCTACTTGCAAGGAGCACAGGGAGACACTGGTGGGAGGGGGAGCCCAAACAGTACCCGGCTGGGTCCCTCCCAGCTCCTGTGAGTCCCACCTGCATGAGCCCAGGGGAGCAGAGAGGCACAAGGCAGACGGGAACCCAAATTAGGGACTGGGAGGAGGGGACACCTTGTCCAGGCCCCTCCTGGCAGAGCCTCAGCCCCAGGGCCCTGGCGTGAAGGCCCGTGCTGGAGCCAGGGCGGGTATTTCTGCCTGGGACATGTTTGAGGCGCACGAGATTGCACAGAACTTATTATGGGATGTTTAAGAGGGGAAGTGAAAGTGGGGAAAGGGATGGATCTGGGCGATTTGGGGAAGAACAAGCATGGAAGAATATGGCACCCAGGAGCCACAGGGTGAGGGCAGCCCCAGTGTTAACCCAGGGGTGCTGTCCCGGGGTGCTACGCGTGGCAGGGGTGGCCGCTGTCCTGGAGGAGTGGGAAAGGTGCTCGTCCCAGCTCCCGCTCCAGCCGATGCCGGGGTGTCCCGCCCGGGGGGTCTGGAGGGGTCCGGGGGGGGTCCAGGGCTGCGTCCCTCCTCTTGGAGCCTGGCTGGCACCTCGCGGCTCCCCGTGAGTCCGAGCTCGGTGCTCACCCCCCACCCTCCCACCGCTGCCCCTGCCTGTCCCCGGGGTGGGGGTCAGCGCGAGCCCCTCCTGCCAGTGCCCCCAAACTGTGGTGTCCGCCGGGTCCCCGGCCCCGCTGCTGCCGCTGCTCCGGGGACCCCCCTGGTGTGACCCTGCCATCGGGGCCGCCCTGCTGCGTGCCCCCCCCTCCCCCCCGGAGACCACACTGCTGTGATGTCCCCCGGGTGTGACCCCCCCGAGGTGAGCCCCCAGCTGAGCCCCGCGTGTGAGCCCCAGCCGCGACCTCCCCTGATGCCACTCCCACGTGGGAACCCCGCCGTGTGCCTCCCCCCCCCCCCCCCCCCCGAAGTGTGACGCTCCAGATGTGACTCCCCCAGGTGTGAGGCGCTGCAGGGGTGTGCCCCCCCCCCGCTCCCCCCGGTGACTCCTCCCACTTTGCCCCCCCCCGGAGTGGCGTGCTCCCCAGCTGTGTCCCCTCTCGGGTGTCACCCCCCCCCCCCCCGTTGCGCCCCCCTCCTCCGCCCGGCTGCGCGCATGTGCCGCGCCCGCCCCTCCCCCGCGCGGCGGCCGGAGCCAGCGGCAGCGGCGGGGCAGGATGAAGGACCGGACCGGGGAGCTGCGCGCCGTGAGTGGGGGGCGCCGGCCGCGGGGGTGGGTGGCTGCGGGCAGCGCCGCTGCCTCTGCCCGGGGACCGCCCGCTTCCCCCGCCCCGAGGGGCGCCGTGCCCCGAGCGGCGGCGCCGGGGGAGGCTGAGCTGGGGGGGGGGGGGGGGGGGGGCCGAACCCCGCCCCCAGTCCCTGGCGGTGGTGGTGGTGGTGGTGGGGGGTTCGCAGTGGGAGCGGGGTCCCCCCGGGTTGCGCGGATCCTTCCCCTCCCCGCGGGCCGCTCCGGGTCCGGGCGGGCGGTGCGAGGGGCGGGCGCTGCCCCGGGGGGTCCCCACCTCTCCCGGCACCGGGTGAGCGGCTCCCGGGGGGGCCGAGCCGGCTGAAAGCGATCCCAGCCGGGGGAACGAAAAAAAAAAAAAAAAATAAAAAATCGTTTATTTTCACGCGGGGCCGGGGAGGGGGGGGGGGGGGGGGGTTCGGCAGCGCCTGGCGGGGATGCTGCGGGCGGGGGCTGCCCCACGGGTGCCGCCGCACGGCCGTGCACACCCTGGTGCCGCCTCCAGCGCCGGCCGCCGCTCTCTGCACCCATTTTGCTTTTTCATCCTCCGGGCTCTGCTGATGTCATCTGGCCTGGGAAGAGCCCGGGGCCGCGCAGCCCTTCGGGTGCTGCCCCCCGCCACCCCCCCGCCCCCCGGGCCCAGCACCTGCCCTGCAAACGGCCGCTCAGCACCCGGTGCCGTGACCCGGGGGTGAGCGGGGCGTCGGGCACCGTCTGTGGCTGCAGCCGGTCCCAGGGGACCACCCGGGCCCGGCGGCACCCACGTTCCGTCCTGCCTGTGGGGCGTTTGCAGCCCCTCGGAGACCCGACGGGGGGCTCGGGTGGTGTAGGGCAGGCAGCACCTTGGGTGGTTGCCGCGGTGGAGCTCCCCACTGCCCCGCTGCTGCCTGCCGCGGACCACGGCGGCATCACCCGCGTGGGCCCCGGGACGCCCCCGGCTCACACAGGGGTGGGGGGTGCCGCCGCCCACGGCGTGGGGCAGAGCTCGGCAGTGTGCCGGCAGCAGCAGGGATGCCTGGGCAGGCGAGAGCCTTCACATCCCTGGGGGCCGCTCCAGCACCCAGCCTCCTGTCTTGTGCCATCATGCCAGCGCTTGCTTTGCTGCTTTTTCTTGTTTTGTTTTTATTTTTTAATTCACGATTTGGTCTGCGGAGCTGCCTGGGAGACCAGTGCAGGGTGTGTGGAGTGGGAGGCGAGCGGGGGTCTCGCCGGGCTGTGGGTGCTCCATCCCGGGCAGGTGACCGGCAGGAGGGGAGGGGCTGACGCAGCCGTGGAGTGGGGGGTGGCAGGGATGACTGTGGGCTGCTCCCCGCAGATACCCACCCCACTGGGATTGCTTCAGCCGGGAGTTTGGCTCAGTCTGGAAAATGGCAGGAGGACGGAGCTGGGGTGACGCCAGCAAGGGGCCGAGGGGGTGGCTGTCAGTGCTGGAGGAGGAAGGGGCTATATAAAGAACAGTTGTACCCCCCACTCAGCCAGAGTGCCTGGAAAGCACCCAAACGGGGGGCTCTTTCCCCATCAACAGTGGAGGCTGTAAAATAGGATTGGAAAATAAGCTTTTCAATAATAATAGTAAAAACCACCCCTATGAATGTCCTCTTGGCAGCCAATGCTGGCTGAGAAGTGATGCTGTAGAGTATTTTAAAATCTCTCCCTTCCTTTAAATATGTCTTAAGAAAAATAGAATGCGTTTTCACCTCACTTCTGCTGCTGATTAGCCTAATGCTGAAGGGAGCAGCGTCCTCCCTGGGGCTCCTTGCTGCAGCTGGGTGCTCCTGGGGACGGAGGCCTGGTTTGGAGCATCTGGATGCCCTGGGGCTGAGTGGGTGCCCACGCTGGGGCTGAGCCTGGCAGGGCTGTGCGGAGTGGGGCAGCGCACGGGGGAAGCGAGGATGGCCTTGGTGGTGGCCGTCACCTGGGAGGAGTGAGATGCTGCAGTGGATGGAGTATAGAAGGTGTTTGGGCTTGTTTTTATTGTGCTGAGAGTAGCCAGCCTCATTAATAGCCTGGGCCAGTTTCCTCCAGTTTTAATACAGTGTCCAAATTCTGCCAGAGATGATAAAAAGGAAGAATTAAAAAGAAAGGGCTGGCTTTTTTATTATTTTTGGAGCTGAGGAGGGGATGCATGGCTTTCACTGCTGTGCAAAACAAGAACTTCATGTCTTAATCAGATTTTTAAAGTGGTACATGAAATTCAAAATACTCATCGTGTGTCTGTTTTGAACCTTGGCATTCCAGTTGTGTTCAAACTCACTCAAGCTTCTCTAGTGCCCTGGGGGTGGTGGTGCCCAGGGGCCTGCTCTGAACCGGGGACAGGAAATTTGGCTTCTGGCTGAAAAACGTCCTCTTGTGGAGGAAGACTAGCTGAGGACTGGCCGTGAAGGGTGTCCAGAATGAGACCAGCAGAACTTTGCTCTTAGCTTCTTAGGGGTAGGCGCCACGGATGGTATTTCCTGCCCATCTGGAGTGGGGCTGGAGCTGGTCCCCTTCCCTGAAACCCCCAAAAGCAGCCCCTCCTGCTGCATCTGTCCCTCTGCAGTGCTGGTGACAGGGCAGGGATGGGACAAAAATTATCTGAAAAATAATTTATTCTGCTTTTGGGACAGTCTGTAAGCTGCCTCTCCCTGTGCTCTGGGCACTTACTAAAATGTCTTTATTTAGACTCTGCTTGTGTTGTGTCCTCCAAAGCTTGAGGAGAGCTGGTGCTGAGTGTGCTGCATTATAAAGAGCCATCAGCCACTGCAGATGCAGGAAGAGCCTGAAGCTCTGCTCAACACATGAGGGCTCTGCTGTCCTGGGTGAGCAGGGCTCCATGGCCAGGGAGCCTCGGGGCCGGGACAGGATGGTGCACGTGTGCAGGACTGTGAGGGTCTGACACTGCTCCACACTGCCTGGGAGGTGACAGCTCAGTTTGTGTGGCATGTCAGGATTTCCAGGGGGTGAGACAGGTTCAAATGGTAAAATGAGTGATGAGTGGATGTGAGGGATTTGTGCAAATGCCATAGGATCACAAAGTGGTTTGCTTTGGAAGTGACCTTCACAGGTCATCCAGTGCCACTCCCCTGCCCCGGGCAGGGCCCCCTTCCCCCAGCCCAGGGGGCTCCCAGCCCCTCCAACCTGGCCTTGAACCCTTCCAGGGAGGGGGCAGCCACAGCTGCTCTGGGCACCCTGGGCCACTGTCTCACCACTCTCATCATACAACATTTCTTCCTTATTTCCAGCCTGACCCCACCCTTGTTGAGTTCAAAGCCGCTGCCCCTTGTCCTGTCACTGCAGGCCCCGGTCAAAAATCTCTCCCCCTCTTTCCTATAAACCCCCTTTAAGTACTGAGTGGCCGCGGCAAGGTCTCCCTGGAGCCGACTCCCCTCCAGGCTGCCCAAGCCCAACTCTCTCAGCCTTTCTCCACAGCAGAGGTGTTGCAGCCCTCGGGCCATTTTGGTGGCCTCCTCTGGACCCGCTCTGCCAGGTCCCTGTCTGTCTTGTGCGGGGGACCCCAGAGCTGGCCGCAGTGCTCCAGGGGGTCTGAGGAGAGCGGAGCAGAGGGGGAGCATCCCCTCCCTCGGCCTGCTGGCCACGCTGCTGGTGATGCAGCCCAGGAGGTGCTTGGCTTTCTGGGCTGCGAGTGCACGTTGCTGGCTCCTGTCCCACCTGTCACCCACCAGTATCCCCCAGTCCTTCTCTGCAGGGCTGCCATCCATCCATCCATCCATCCATCCATCCATCCATCCATCCATCCATCCATCCATCCATCCATCCATCCATCCATCCATCCATCCATCCACCCATCCATCCACCCATCCATCCACCCATCCATCCACCCATCCATCCATCCACCCACCCACCCATCCACCCACCCATCCATCCACCCATCCATCCATCCACCCATCCATCCACCCATCCATCCATCCATCCATCCATCCATCCATCCATCCATCCATCCATCCATCCATCCATCCATCCATCCATCCATCCATCCATCCATCCATCCATCCATCCATCCATCCATCCATCCATCCATCCATCCATCCATCCATCCATCCATCCATCCATCCACCCATCCATCCACCCATCCCATCCACCCACCCCATCCACCCACCCATCCACCCACCCATCCACCCACCCATCCACCCACCCATCCACCCACCCATCCACCCACCCACCCATCCACCCACCCACCCACCCACCCACCCACCCATCCACCCATCCACCCATCCACCCATCCACCCATCCACCCATCCATCCATCCATCCATCCATCCATCCATCCATCCATCCATCCATCCATCCATCCATCCATCCATCCATCCATCCATCCATCCATCCATCCATCCATCCATCCATCCATCCATCCATCCATCCATCCATCCATCCATCCATCCATCCATCCATCCATCCATCCATCCATCCATCCATCCATCCATCCACCCACCCACCCACCCACCCACCCACCCACCCACCCACCCACCCACCCACCCACCCACCCACCCATCCACCCATCCACCCATCCACCCATCCACCCATCCATCCATCCATCCATCCATCCATCCATCCATCCATCCATCCCCCAGTCTGTGCTGGTACTGGGGGTTGCCCTGATCAGGTGCAGGACTGGGTTGAACTTCATGAGGTTCACACGGATCCCCTCCCCCAGCCTGTCCAGGTCCCTCTGGATGCCAGCCCTTCCCTTCAGTGTATCAACTGCACCACTCAGCTTGGTGTCATCTGCAAACTTGCTGAGGGTGCACTTGATCTCACTCACGGTGTTGTTGATGCAGATGTTGAGCAGGCCATAGATGTGGCTTTTGACAGGTCCTGGTCCCTGGTCCCTGAGTGCCCTCTTTCCAGCAAGACCGAATTCCTTCCATTTGCTCCCCATTGCTGAAGCAGGGAGACAATGCCAAGGCGCTGTGAGGCTGCTGTGAGGTGCCTACCTGGCATGGGAGGAGGGTCTTCAGGGGGACAC